CTTCTTCCAAGTCTTCAACTTCTTCCAAAAACTCCACGTTCTGCTGGAGGGCTTCTCTTTCTTGCTCTTGCATGGCTATGTCCTCCGGCGCAGGCGCTTTTCCGCTGGAGTCTTGATCCCCATCAGGGGGCGCTTCCTCCTCATGAGCCTCCTCCATCGGGAGTCGTTGTGTGCGTCCACGATCGGCGCGGTCGCTGCGCGCTGTTCCATGGATTGGAGTGCCACATTTAACGAGGACTGTAGCTCGGCAACAGCGCGGCGCATGTCGAGTTGAAAATTCAGGTTGGCTTGCCTTTCCTCGTGCATTAAAGAGGCTCTGATTTCGGTAAGAATGCGGCGGTGGCATTCAAGTTGGTGAAGCTGATCGTCCGCTACACGTTCCTATCCTCAGGGCGAACAGTTCGATTATCACCATGCAGCAGGAAATTAGTACAGAAATCATGACCAAGTGTTTCAGTTTTTGAAATGTAACATTATCTTCAATTGTGGTGACATCAGATGCACCAGTAATTGGAAGATTTCGAGGCATATCCACAGTTGGCATATCTAACAGTTCAATTCTGATCACTTTTTTATGATATCGAATACATGGATCAAAAAGAACTGCATCTTCAACACTCAGGTTTGGCAGAGGGGTGTTCGATCCACCTAGATTGTGGAAGAGAACAGGATCTCTGCACAAAGCAGTCATAGGTGTCATGATTTTGAATGTTTCCATGACATCTTGTTTAGCTTTTCCATTTGAAAATCAGATGTGTATTTGAGTCGAGTCATCTCAAAGGTCTGGGCTAACTTGGGTAATTAAACAAGAAATAAATCATAATGTAATTAACTACGGTTTAACGACAAAGGCACGATTCTTAAGGCTCATCTCAATAAAGTGAGAAAAAGTGTAGAAGTATTTCTAAGGAAATAAAGGCGCTGCGCTAGAGAAAGACATAAATGAAGGCGCTGCGCTACGAGAGAGTCAGAAGGTCTAAAGCCAACGAGGAAAAATGTTGCGAAGCGCATGCCAACGGTTTTTATATGCGCATTGGCATTTGCCTCGCAAGATGGAAGCTGATAAAGGCGTTGAGAGCGCGATGAAACAAAACATGGAATGAAATTGCTCGTTGATTCCATTAACATTCAAGTTACAGAACAAACAAAAGT